AAACCATTAGATGGTCTGCATGTTTTACACAGCAATGGATTTCTACTTCCCATCTTTTCTTCATTGCTGTTTTTTTTTTTGATAATGAGAAGAAATCATTATTTTTGGGCTTTCTATAGTGGACATGACAGTAGTAAAATATATATGTGTGACAGGAACCGCAAGGTTGTCTTTTCCCCTAGAAATTCACATTCTGAGGGCCTTTTTTACACGTTTGCACGAACATACAAACGTGAATAGGCCAATAACAGCAAAACTGCCCCTTTCTCTTGGCGATTCAAACCGAGTCGCAGTGTCTGCTCAACTTCAAAAAAGCTAATGCAAAAACAACCCTGCTGCAAGGTAGAGGGGTAGAAATCAGAATTTATCACCCAGTTTTATGTAAACTGGTGTTTCATGAAAAAGGGAGAGACGAAATGATGACCCAGACACCTGCAGAAAACGCAAGAAATGGCATTAAAGACAGATTCAGTGGCAGCTGAACTTGGTTTCGAATGGTGAAACTCAGATCTTCTATCCGGCTCCGATCAGAGCCCGCCGGTGTACATGGTGAACACCTCAGCGTTTTCGTTCTGCGCTCTAGGTGGCGGAACTTGGTGGAGCTTCATATTTATGCCTGCGTTTCACTTGGCAGTTTTTAAACATTGCAGTCACTGCTCATGAAAAGTGGCCCTGTGAAAGAAAAGCCTCATGACAAAGATGAAAATCTGAACAGCACAAACTGGGACTACTCTGCTATCACCATTCTCGTGCCAATTTGTCCCGCTGTTTTAAAACAAAAACCAGCTTGCAAGTACAGAACAGCAGATTTGAGAATTCATAAGCAGTTTTGGATTTGCAGAACGAAAGCTTGGCGATAAAGATAACTGCTGATTTAGCAATAAGTAAAGAGTGAAACCATGCAAAAGTACCACTGCAGCTGTGCATCCTCTGCAGGACTTTAAAGTCTCATATAAACGGGCTTTTATCGTCTGTAGTATTTATGCACTGAAGGTGCAAAAAAATGCAATGTCTTTGTAAGGGTCAGGACTCATTTAAAGGAAAAGCTAACACAGGATGCTAGCAAGAACTAGCGTCACTAAAAGAAAGGAGAATCTTAAATCCCTTGAAGCATTACAACATTCATACCTATTTTATGAGAATTCAGAAATCAATTTTAGTTGCACAAAAATATGAACAAAGAACCTAAACAAACGCTTAGAAGCAATTCTGTCACTGACAGCAATGTGTCAAATTTAGTTTTTGTCATATAACCGAAAACAAAGAACAAAACACCTCAAAAACTGCAATTCTTAAGCACAAAATGACACACTTGAAATATGTCCATATATGATGCTTCTCATTTTACAGTTTCCTAGTGTCCTGCTGCCTTCAGCCAAATCCAGTGCTGTAACTGGAAAAGCTAGAAAAATCCCCAGTTTGTGTCGCTCACCAAACTTGCTTGTTTTAGAAAGCACCTATTCCTGAAAATCGAATGTATCTGCGCCAGTATTAGGCAGACAGGGTGTCCACTTCTATAAGATAATATAGTGGGGGAAGTGTGTTCTTAAGAGTACAAAGAAAGACTACTTTGAACTGAGGACTGGAAAGTGAAGCTAACTGGATCTGGATTTGTGAAATGACATTATAAGATAGACATTTTAGATAACACTAATTACCAGTCATGTAAATATCTATATTTGTTATCCCATTCATATTTTGCATATGCATGCTTTTACATGATTGTGCTACTGTTTTACTCTTTACGTCTCTTCATAAAAGCAACAGAAAGTGCTTTAAAATCAGCACAGTATAAAAAGGCTGTTGGTAAAACTTTAAAAAAGCTTTATGTGTTGAAATCATGGCTCTTCCTTTTAGTTATCTGTAGTTAAACGGGAGTTTGAAAGGTTTACAAATCTTTAGGTTATTTTAACGTTTGCTTTCTTTTCAGTAGGTCAGTCTGAAAACGGAAAACTGTGCTCATCCTGACACATTGACAATTCTCACTCTCTTTTAGCAGTTACTAGCTTTTCTTTCATAATAACTGTAATTCAGAACCCGACATAGACAGAACAAGACATAGAGATTCTGATGCTTGCAAAATATGCTTATGCTTTGTTATCAAGCAATGTGAGTTCTACGGACCAAATGGCATCTATACTGAAGCCCAAACGAAAAGAAATCTTCAAGTATAACATCAAAAGGATCATGGATTCTCACATAATCGACTGCAAGGAAAAGGTAATGAGTACTGCGATTAAATTTTACTGTATTCTTTTTTTTTTCTTGAGTCGGACGTCCACTGCAAATTGCATGATTAGTCAAACGTGTTTGCTGCATACATCGTCAAGGCTGAGCTGAGCACAAATTGCCAATTAAAGTGTAGCGTTATGTGCCTATACAAAAAAGAGCGAGCCAAGGTTTTACGCTCGGAAAAGACGAAGACAGTACAAGGTCATGCTTTGTTCGAGATCGACTGATTACTGTCGCTGTGACTGAACCTGGTGTATCCGTAAGGGAAGCTGCTTGTGGAAAGAGATACTTGGCTTCTACAGTCGGCACACTATTCATGAAATCAGGCCAGGAATCATGTCCAGGAAAGATTAGGCTGACCAAAGGCCAGCATGGCTGCATATGTCTACTGCATGTCCTGACATGTAAACAGCTCACAAAGCCCCAGGAAGAAACAAACAGTATACACACAGAAGGACCACAGTTCCTCTTCTGCATAGAAATCATTTGAGCGCTCAGAGACCATTCAAGGGAAACATCTTCACAGTCGAATGTCAAAGTCGTTGCCTTTTGTGGATCCGAAATCATGAGGGGTGCGAACAAAGAGGCCGTCGGTGTGCTTTATTCACCACTATGTCGTTTTGCCCTTGATAGGCCTGATGGAAAACGACCAGTGGATTCTCCTATCGCTGATGCAGTCGCAGAAGAGGAGTGGAAAAATATCCCTCTGCTGTCTATCCAGAAGGTTCCAAAGATCCATGCATCAATAATGGCAAAACTAAGCACTTTTTAAGACTTTTTAAAGGTCATCCAACACACAATTAAAAATGAAATAATCTATTCTAAATCGCTGCACAGTTTTTTTCACTGATAGCTATGAGTATTTCAAACCGTGTTATACTAAGAACTATTTGGAATATATGCAAAAACGAAGGTGAGGTATAAGCCCATTAAAGATACAGCTGGCCTAACTTGCTCCGAAGAGTATGTCTCTTCACAATTACAGAACGCAGCAGTTCTTCTGAGAAATGCACAGCAGCATGAGCCTAGAGTCCCCCAAAACATACTTTTAGACCAGGATGGACTGAAACGAAAATCTTTTTAATGCCAGATTTGATAAGCAAAGCCCCAACGAAATTACAAGATTTAAACAGAGGAATCTGCAGGGGATGACATTCTCATTTCCCAATTTCAGAAACGCACTCAAAGGCTCTTGTCCGGAGAGCACAGATCTTTGATGGAGAGCAAACGGTTCCCCTGTCCTTCCACAGAGACAGGGGATCTGTAACGAGCTAGGAGTTGGGAGATAAGGCTAGGGTTAAGGAAAGGATTTTTTGTTGTGCAAGGCTTGCCAAGTGAAGAAAGTTTGTGAAATGAATTTCGGGGATTCTTACTCTACCTCATCTTAACTCTGCACAGATTTCTTCACTTAAGTCTCCTCTTGCAGCAAATCAAGCAAAATTCTTTTTATGGGCTTCACATGCTGCAACGCCGGTCTTTCACAGGATTAAGACCAGGTCTTAGTTATGCAGGTAATACACTTTTGATAGCGGCTTTCTGAAAATACCTGGTACCTGCTGTTTCTGAGTTGAGCTCCCAAGTGAGAAACTATCTGGCGATTCCTGTCACGTGACGTGGGGAATATGGTTTTCAGGCTGACGTTTTCTTTCCCCCACAATAAATCTCATAACCCAAACTCCAACCCCCACTACAGGAAAAATGATGCTGCAAGTTGGAGAGCGACGAAGGTTTAAAAAATAAGGATGCAGGTGCACTCTGAGCACAAGGCGCATACAAAACAAGCAAGTCATGAAAGCTGGTTAAAAGCAGAGTTCCCTCAAAAGAAGTAAGTTAATTTTGCAATAAATGCAAAGGAACAGAGAAGGAACTTTTTCACACAATCTATGAACTGTAAATTATTCAGATGCAAATAATACCCTTAACAAGAAGACTTGCCATAAATTAAGAAATAAAAATAATATAAATTCCATAACTTTAAAATGAAATGGCAATATGTATGTGCAGTGAAAATAAAGTGCTTTGTTAACCAGTGGGAAATAAAAGTATTGTATCTTCTTTTATGACGGTAACTTGGAAACCTTAAGTAGAATTGCTCATTTTTCTAACTCAATATACACTGCCATATATATTTTCAAGTGCAATATTTTTAACATTCTGTAAGATGACCATTTGTCATATGACCACGATCAAATGAATTTGCAAATGGTTATTAATTTTCAAACAAAAACCCAGAACAAATACTGATGTGGTTGATTCAGGGCAAGATATTTCAAGAATTCTCACATGTTGGAGAATCCTGTTCAAGATATTACCTGATACCCCCAATTCAAGATTATGATCAAACTGGAACATATGACAAGCAATTCTGCTTTTAATATAAACACGTTAAAAGCAGATAAACAGATTCCCTTTGAGCACTTAAAGTAAAGTAAAGTCGCACCATGAAAGGGATGTGATCATCTTATCCTGACTAATTCTAAACCTGAATAATAATGTTATTTTATTTTAACATTTCAATATAAGACGTTTTGATGATGAAATCAGAAGACGGATGACTAACGTGAGTGCAACACGATTTGCATGAGTGTAACGACGTTTCAAAAAAACGCCCGTCATTTCTGCTTCAGTGAGAGTGTGAGTGTGTTTCACATATGTTGCAGCCTGGACTTTGTGGCGTCTTGACTGCACCACGTCACTTGGACGCCTGTCTCGGGAACCACAAATCAGGTGCTCCCCGTGTGTGGAAGTGAGCAGCCCAGGTCCCTTACCTGATCCGGAGCCCCAGCTCTCTCGACTGTGGTCCTTCAGGTTCAGCTGGATTGAACGGTCCTCTGCCAGCTGCCCCCGTCCCAGGATCATCCAGCTCTCCACGCAGTCAGAGTCCTCGCTGTCGGAAAGGGTCTCGGCCTGCTCCGCCGCCGTCTCCCGCTGCCCCTTGCGGGGGGGCAATGGGGTGGAAGAGGAAGGGCAAGCCCTCTTCCTCAAAGCCTTGGAGAAACCGTCCATCTTGCTGCCCTTCGTGACACAAATGCTTTCCTCCTCCGTGCTGTCCGACAGCGTGATTACCTCCGGTTCGCAGCCAGAAGTGATGCTGATCACTTCCTCCTCTTGTCCCCTGTCCACGGCGCCGTTCTCTTCCACCTTGTCCTCCACTTCTCCGTCTCCGGCCCTGCTGGCATAGTGGACCTGACTGTACAAGTGGAACTCCACCTCGCTGTCGAGCTCGGAGTCGCTGGATTGCCCTGGCTCCTTGTACAGCTCGTCCTCATACTCCTCCATAGACTCATACCCAGCAAACATGTTGGCTGTGGAAACAGGTGATCGACAGACTGTTGACATCAGGTAACATGACAGAAAAACCTCGCCTAAAGTACCTCACCATTAGACAGGACAATTCACCCCTTTCATGTCTTTGACCACTGAGGAGGTCAAGTGTCTCCAGGACTGAGATAGAACACCACTCGTCCCAGCTGACAAGTTCACAATCGTCGTTTGCATTTATTTTGTCTTACTCTTGTGTTGATGAAAGCAGGATCCTTACTGAAAAACAGAGGAGTTTGCTTTGACAAAAGAGAGACTGAGCACCCCGAAGTTATTCTGTATCATCCAAGTAAAAAAACAAACCCGCCTGAATTTACAAGGATCACTTCATCCCTTTTAGCTTTAATGGTTTACCTTCTTACTTCATACTGTCAGATATACAGGTTTGCAACATCCTTTTCTGTCCTGGTCTCTTATGCTTCAGCATCACTACTCATCAAACACTTTGCCTTATGTAATGTAAAATGTTGCAAGAACTGCAAAGGGCAGAGTTTGCTTCCAAACAAAGATCTGATAGGTTAATTTCCAAAGGTGCAAAACTCCAGTCTCTTCTAAAAAAAACAGAAGAGACTTAACATTTTCAGTGTTACTCCACTATTCCTCTTTTCATTTATCCCACACCCTTTACAGTGCACTCAACTCCTATGCTTTGCAGGAACAGATGTTCACCTAGCATACGAATGACTCAGATTTAGAAAACATAAATAAAATAAATGAATGCCAGAGCTACTCAATACAAGCCCATAGTCCGGTTCAACCCAGCGTGTCTGAAGCTATAATGGCTGATTAAAGAGACATAGTCTGAATGAAGGAGATGGCAAAGATGGTCACAAGCCACCGACCAAGGAATAATACAAAAAAGAGGAGGATGTAAGAGGGAGAGGGAAAATGATTTGTGCCCAAATTTGTTCCTTTTATTCATGGATCATTTTCATCCTGAATGGTCAGGGATTTAAAGGAGCATAGGCAGACTCCCGTGTAACCTGTTCACCCCCACACAAATGACAAAATCCTGAGGTGCAAAAATTGACCCTCAAATTCTCTGAAATGACTTACCTGAGTTCTACTGCCACGCCGATTCCCTCTCCCTTTAGATCTCTTTCTCTTTCTATCCAGTGGCCTTTGACATAAAATAAAAAAAAAACAGAATGAGAGATAGAGATCAATTATTTCCTATAGCTGAGGATTACTCACTGCACCTACCAATTAACCTAACCATGAGTGTCCCAGCAGGGACTGGCTGACAGTTGAAACTCATCCTGCTATTCAGCTCTTATTCCTGTCCTCCTAAGGCTACTAATAGTGGCAGCCTTGCCAGAAAGAGGACACAAGTCAAGTGGTTTGGTAGGCCCTACTGTAAATCCAAATGTAATAGCTGGAGATCTCCAAAACAAACCAGCATCTTTAGAACACAAAGTGTTGAGAACTACTGTACCATTCACCATCGCCTTCATAAATGTGACAGGCAGGTTTGTAAGGAAAATGAGGACAAACACAAATTAACAGTTGGAAGCACATCATATGCTCAGATTAAACAAAATTTTATCTTTTTAGACACGCTGCGCAGCTAGTTTGGCATTAAGAAGATGAAGCTCACGCTGAGAAAACACTCATGCCTACTGTGAAATATGGCGGGAAGTCAATTATGTTTTGGGTTGGTTTTTCATCTACAGATCCTGGAGTGTGAAGGAATGGTGAACTTCAACCTGTACCGGGGTATTTTTGGCCAAACTCCTGGTTTCCTCTGCCAAGAAGATCAAGGTTGGCCAAAAGTGGACATTGTAACATGACGATACAAGCCATAGGCCCAAAACCACACAGAAGTGCACACATATGTCATTCAAATTAGCGCACCTTCTACACTGTAAATATTATTTTTCCTGGTAATGTTTTGTGTCTGTTGCAGTTTAAGATTTTTTGAATAATTGTGCTCTCATTTCATATACTGATCACAGCTGAAATGATATGTGTAAGTGATAATTTATATAGAAATTGATGAAAAACGTTTTCCAGATATATTTATGATGGTAAAAACAAGAACAGTTTGTAGGCCTTCCATCTGGTTGGATTTTTAATAAGTCCCTTCAGAGCTCAATGCCCACAGGTTGCACAGTCTCTCATGACTTAACAAGTTGTTCACGGTTTTGCCTTTGAAAAACACTTATGCTTTCGAATATTTGTACTCACTCACACACACCTAATTTGACATCATAAACGTGTAAAAGAAACGAATTCTGTCCCTGTCGCCATCTGTTTATCTGCAGATATCCAAATGAGAAAAACAAAACAGCAAAACAAATAAAAACGTAAAGATACTTTTGTGATGCGATTAAAATGTATTTTAAACTAGAATAACACCCACTGAATACATTAACTTAAAAACACTATAGAACAGTGTGTGGACGTATTTGTGTTAGCTCCTATTCTCTGTGCACAAACTAGTACCTAATGACAGTGTCTGTCTAACACCTACATTTAGACAGTGTAAAACAGAGAATAGGAAATCGTGGCAGAGAAGCAAAATATTTAGGTATTATTAATCAGTTCACACTGTATATCCTAAAATCTTAAAAGCTTGTGGTACCCACGTGTTCAACCACTCAGTGTAACTACCGGCAGACTATAAACAAATCACTCAACGCGTACTGTACTCTAGGGCTTTAAAAACATAAGCCACGCTAGTTTGACCATTTCAAATACAATATCCAGCTTGCCTTTCTGCACTGGATTTTGTATTCTTATGTCACTTTAAACTCACCCGTGTATTAGTTTTCAGCCACAACTTCAGACATTACAGTAAAAACACATTCCGCTGTCCGACCAATGTCAGCACGGAGTTTGGAGGAGCTGGTTGGACGATGATCACATTGCTCAGTCTTTCCCGGAGTTTCCATGCACGTTTCGGGAAGCAAAGGTACTGTAGCATTAATGTCACGGTGAACTGAAAACGAAGTCTTAGAACTCACAGCCAGGAGAGATACATGCCATTAAATCGTGTGCTTTTAAGAAACACGCACACAGTGTGAACTATGTTATACCACTTGATACCATAAGTATTGTATTTTAATACCATAAATGTCTAACTGTAGTGAATGTGAGACAAGACAAGACCGTTATGTAGCGCAGACAGCGGTAGTAACTTCAAATTTGTATCTTCCATTTTTGTATAAAACATTGGGTTCTTGTTGTCCATTAACGTACTCAAATCCTGAACATTTATATTTACATTTGTAAGTACGACATATAGTTTTTAAAATAACTGTTTTTCACTGGAATTCGTAACTTCTTAAGATTTGTATATCCCAGCGAAATGCAACAATATTGAGGGTGACACAACTGTCAACAAGATTAATTATAATGTTGTATCATATAACACAGTAGTGTCTAACTTAAGCTACTGTAAACCCGTACCGAAGTTATATTTCCCATATAAATTCGAAACGTATTATAGGGGAAAATGAAATAACAGTGATTCGCGACTGTCGTTTGTTTATATCATTTCTAAATGTATTGTATGTAATAATATTTACGTTTGTGCTGCTAAGTTTGCTTCTTGTGCTTCGTCCTCTCTATTACATTACATAGATAAAGCGGATAGCGAACGTTTCGCCGCCCTGTAAATTTTATAGGATAAACACCGAATAAAAATAACAAACAATACGTTCATTTACATAAATTTTCGATGGTGTCATTTAAGTAAAGGTTTCGAATTTCACCTAAAAGTGGAAACGGAGTTGCTTCGTATTATTATTATTATTATTATTATTATTATTATTATTATTATTATTATTATTATTATTATTATTATTATTTACTTTGTTAACTCTCAAAATATTTTCTTCTCCCAAGCAAGTGTGTATATTTAACAGCAGCAAAAACAATGAGAGAATGTTTTAGTTTAAATTTGCAGTTTTGGCATAATAAAGTTTGTTTTTTATTTACAGAACTTTTGTTTAAATACTCCTGTTTATTGACCTGCCCCGTACTCTTTGGACTCCATTCTGTCATCTTTAAGGATTGTTACCTGTTGTAATATTGATTAAGATGGACAAAGCATTATTGACCCCAGGAATTTTTTAAGTCCATAGCACAGACGAGCCTTTTCCTGTTTAGTGAAAAACCTACAGCATCTACTTTGTCACCTATTTGCAGAAGCAGAGGTCAGTGAAGACTATCTAGTCAAGAGTTTTGAATTAAAAGGAATTTTAAACACTGTCTGTGCTTCATGGCATCAGACAAGTCATGGTTAAATTCCTTCCCTCATTGCCTTCCACTTACTAAAAATCATGCAGTAACAGGTGTAGCTGCTTCTTATACATGCTACAATTGTTGTTCATAGTATCTATATTTTAGACATTAATGCCCCCATTTTACACCATTTGCATCCATATGCTTTGAGCTGAGCCTGTAGATTGCTGTCCTGCTTCTTAGCAAATTACAGAAAATCACTGTTTGATTCACCATCTGAGTTGGAATAATTTGCCATGCATGTCATACTGGCAATGCCATAAAAAAAAACAGCAATTGTTTGCACCCAAAGGCAAGCTTTTCTACATTATGTCTTTGTGATTCATGGCTGAGCTTCCATGGGAGTTTTTAGAACTAAATTAGGTAGAGATGGGAATCAGTCATGTCTATAGAAAAAAAAAAGATTTGAGACTTGATTTTGATTTATTGTTGGAGGTTTTTTCAGGGGATGCAGGCAAAAACTCTCATTGACTATTCCATAGGCTTGCAACTGTTCATCTGTTAAATACAGAGCCATTCGTCTCCTGCACCTTGTTTGAAAGTCTTTAGTCCTAAGCTTTGAGTTATGAATACCTGCCATGATGTTCAAATCAAGGATTTGTGTTGATAGAGCTTCATTATTCAGACTACGGCCTGGATTAAATCACAGTTCCAGCCCTCTTGCCAATATCTAATTCCACATGCATCCTTTGATGGAGCTTTCTGTTTGCCAGAGGCTTTTACTGGTAACAAGGCCTTATTCCTTAACCACTGGACCACCTAGTCTCCACCCACAGAGAATAACCCAGACACTGATAAGACGCACAAGATGGTACTGCTGAGGCTTGTGCAACAGCAGAAGGAGACCATATTCATTACTGTGTTTGTGCGCTTAATGTTGGCCACATCTCTGCACTGAACATTTGTGCAGCAAAACAAAATGAG